AAAGGGAGGGAAGGGGTGAGGGATAAAAGGCTACAAATTGTGTTCAGTGTATACTGCTTGGGTGATGGATGCACCAAAATCTCACAAATCACCACTAAAGAACTTATTTGTGTAACCAAATACCACCTGTTCCTCAAAAAACCATGGAGAAAATACATACATACATACATACATACAATTTAGATAAATCTTGCCAAATTGCTTGCACCTTGTTGCAACAATTTATACCTCTACCAACAGGGTATAAGAGTGCCTGTTTCCCCATAAAGTATATCATCCAACTTTTGGAGCCATAACAATCTGAGAGAAAAAAAATACTGATGTTTAGCTTGCATTTCTTTAATGAATGTGAGGGTAAGCATCTTTTCAAATCTATTTATACCACTTGTATATTTCTGTAAGCCACCTGTAATTTGTCTATATTTTACATTTTTTATATTAATTTGTAGTAAAGTTTTATGTAGTTGAGAAGTTAGCTTTTAGTTTGTCAAATGCGCTATAAAGTTTTATTTATTTGCGTATCTGTCACAGATAATTCTATTTTAAAAAATGTAGTGAAATTTGTCCCTCTCTTTGTTTATGTTTTCTGGGTAGGCCTTCCTTCCCTGGTGTAAAAAAATACATATCCAGCTATGATTTATTCTGGTACATCATTTATAGTTTCATTTTTGATCCTTGAATCTTTTTTTCCATATCAATGTATTATTTTCTTAACAATGATTGTCTCATTGTCTGAAATACAAAAATAGCCCATCGTTTTCCCATTACAAGAAGTACCATATTTACATTTAATAAATTTTCATATATATTTTGGTTCATTTTTAATTCTATAGTTTTGTGACACATTTTAGTAAACGAACAGTGTTAATCTCCATTTTATCTCTTTATCATATTTCCCCTGACTACCTTCACTTATTTTCCTAGATGATGTTTAGATTAATTTAGTAAAATTACCAAAAAGAAAAATTCTGTTGGTACCTTATTTTGGAATCACATTCGGCTTATAGATAATTAACGACATAATTGACATCTTCATATTATTTATTCTTGTCTTTTATATTTCTTCCTAATTTCCTTTCTTATCCAATTTAGACTCTGTGTTGTGGGATTATAATCATTCCCTTGGATAACTTTATTAGTTTCTTAGTGCTGTTGTAACTAATGACCAGAGACTTAGTGTCTTAAACAACTCAAATTTATCATCTTACAGTTCTGGAGGCCAGAAGTCTGAAATGGGTCTCGCTGGGCTAAAACTGAGGTGTCGGCAGAGCTTTGTTCCTTTCTGGAGGCCCAGGGGAAGAATTTGTCTCTTTGACTTTTGTAGCTTCTAGAGGCCATCTGCATTCCTCGGCTTATGGCCCCTTCCTGTGTCTTTGAAACCAGCAACATTGCATCTCTCTGACCATACTTCCATAGTCACATCTCTCCTTGATTACAGCTGGGAGAGTTTCAGCACTTTTAAGTACCCATGTGATTAGTTTGAGTCCACCCAGACAATCCAGGATAATCTCCCTATCTCAAGGACCTTAACTCATCACATTTGCAAAGTTCCTTTTGGCCTGTGAGGTATCATATTCACAGGTCCCAGGGGTGAAGAAATGGCCATCTTTGGTGGGGGAGAGGGGTCCATTATTCTGCCTATTGCAGATATACTCTCAACTGCCATGTCCCTCTTCAACTTCGTTGAATTCAACTAGAAAATACTAACTCAAAAGAGGAGATTTAGATTAAATAAGGCTGGGAAATTAAAAGTTTGAAATGCTGTATTTAGCTTAACAGTGTTTAGCTACCAGAATGTTTATTTTTTATTTAAAATTCCCAGCTACTAACCTCAAACGGACCTTTTGGCCTGTCCTGCAATCCTGTGATATTGCTGGTCTGTTAGCTGCTCTCTCTTCCATTCCTCTCCTCTTTCCTCAAACTTCCAGGACCTCTTCTCCATCCTCACTCCTAGTGGATTAAATTGCGTCCTATTTTGCTGGTTGCTGAGAAATAATCTGGAGTAAAATCCCACATACTCTCCCACCATTTTCTAACTCACTTGCATCAGTGTCCATGTAAGGAATGCCCATCTATTATTATAGCATAAAAGAAGGTTAAACACTCCACTTGTACTCTGGGTTCCACCTCTGTGGTCTAGTTTAGGAAATCATCCAGTAATTTCAAACTCTCCCATCCTCAATTCTTTCCTCTCTATGGTAAATACTGGCAGCTGATGTTAAAATAGCATTCATTTGAACCCTGGAAGCACCAGTCTCACAGGAGAAGGTTCTGCAAATAGATAACCACAAATAAATCCCTATGATCATCCTAATGTGACAGAGAACAGAAATGTGAGCTTGACTATGTGCCCATTTTCATTGTATACATGATTTTCATTATATCCTGTTAGGTTTGACATCATTTCTTTAGGCTTTAGGTCCTGGCTACAGTATTTATTTTCCTGTGAAAATTATTCACACAGTGAATCTGACCCTGTTTAGAACCCCCATTTGAAGGTTTGCACGGGGACCAAGTGGCCACACTTAGACCAAAGCTACTGTCATAGAGCTTGCCACCAGCTACACATTCCAAGGATCTCAGTAAATATTTGATGTCTATATTCATATGCCCAATTCAATAGTTTCAGAAACCCTCAAGTGGTATCTGCTTCTTTCACCAGCCATACAATTCTCTCTCTCCTTTATAAGGAAGCAATTGTTTTTTGTAAATCATTAGTTCCTATTTTGATAGAAAATATGAAAATAACTGCTGTAGCCTAGGAATATCTTCGAACATTTTGACAGCACAAAGCTTTCCCTGGATGTGCTGATAACCACACAGCCTCAAAAATAATCAATGCAGACAGAGCTTCTAGTAGACAAGTTTTATAAAATTATTTTTGGTAAAGGTTATTTGTTTAGTGGACTCTTTCAAAAGCAGGAACAAAGAGAAAAATCAAATCAACAAGATTTTAAAACAAAGCCACAGAGAGTATCTGTTCCCTGATATCTTATCTGATGTGCATTCAATCCAAGTTTCAAAAACTTTTCAAAGTTATCATTTCCCTTCACTACAAATTGAGCTTGCTAACAATATTTCCATTTTTTTTTTCCTTAGGAACGAAAAGAATGTCTGTGCTCATTAAAGGGAGACAAAACTCTTGGCCCTGGCCCCACATGGGCCACTTTGTGAGTTAAGTGGGAGGGAGAACAGGCCTCATCTTTGCTCTACAACCAAATCAATATCAGGTAAGGCAGGAGAGGCTTTTTCAAGGAAAAGAGCGACATGGCCTGACGGTCACTAGTATTTATTTTTCACAATTGCCCAAGTGATTTTCTTCTTACTTGAGCTGAGGGCCTCTATGTGTGAGATTAGCAGGAAAAAATAAAACAGGGGTGAGGATTTCCTTTTAGAAAGAACATGCCATGATTGTGGTAGTGAACAAAGTGTGACAAGAAAGCCAATGGCGCAAGGCATATGCCAATGAAATATGCATGTCTTGTCAGCCCCTTGGTCTTGCCTACCTTGCCCGTCTGAACTCTGTCATGACCTCCAGTGGAGTCTCAGCTTCCTGCTTCAAGGCAAAACATGGCCCTAAGACTCACCATCCCAAGAAAAACTCTGGTCAGTGTTTTTGTGTTACTCTTTCTGGTCAAATAACTGAGCCTCCTACTGCAAAGGCGAGTTGCTGAAGCTCGCATGTGTGATCAGTGACAGGATGAGTTCACAAATCCTAGCCTTTAGACCAAGCCAGCATTCTTTCTGTCAGCCACAGCTGAACCAAAAGAACTCCACCACTGCCAGTGTGGGTGCCAGAATGTGAATATATGTGTGTAAAGCAAGGTAAGCCAACTTTAGAACTTGGGACCTGATCATTTTTGTTGCAGGGGGATGTCCTGTTTATTATAGGGTGTTGGGAAGCATCCTCAGCCTCTACCCACTAGATTCTAGGAGCATCCATCCCCTGAGCTGCGATAACCAAAAGTATATCCAGACATTGCCAGATGTCCCCAGGGGCTGGGGAGCAAAATCAACTCTGCCTGAGAACCACATATTTGTGTGTATATGTATATATGTGTATATGCACATATGTTGTGTGTGTGTATATATATATATATATATATATGAACTGTTTATGAACAAATATTCATGAAGCATCCCCTCAACCTCCTCCAGAAGAAAACAAAGTAGAAGAGAAGTTCTGCAGATACCAAAATCCTCCAAGGCAATATTCTAGCTTCTAGAAGCTTCCTATCTGTCTTCTGCTTTCCTTTAAGTTTTAGGCCCACTGGCTAATGTTGCTTTTCATGGCATATTACTCAATTTGTATATCAGTTTTTCATTCTGCTTCAAAGTAGCTGGTCTGCTACATATCAATACAAATTACAAAGTGCCTTTATAGACATAGTAAACATATAGAGACAACGTTTTATGGATTCGAGAAATTCAAGTACATGTATCTCATCTTTACTGGAATCAGGATCTGTTTACAAAACAAATATCAGCCAGTCAGGTGTGCACTGGCTCCAGTGCAACATAGAGCACACCAGCTGGAAAAGTGGATAAAAAGCAGTTAACTTTGGTAAAATCCCTGATTCTGAGTTGGCTTAGGGTCAAATGACAAGTTTAACAAAGTGTTAAGGCATTCTGTTCAAATGGCTTATTTTGAAACAAAACTTAGATAGACACAGCTTTTCTTTTGACTCTTTAAGATGACCTTTCTGAAAATTCTTTTTAATTAGTTGTTCTGAATTCATATAGACTGTTTATATACACACAGCTTTCCTTTGTAATGACCCAAGTTGACCTTCCCTTTAAATAAACATATCAGCTGACATGAAAATTGTCCCACTTTAACATGGCTTTCAAATGGACACTAATGTCAGCCAACAACCGAGAAGCTGTAGTTTCCTTCCTGTGTGAATATTAGGTGTGAGAAGAGTTCACAGCTCATGGCTTTGGCAGAGCCAATATTTGACCTGCAGTGTTCCCCAGCAGAAAAGCAGAGGAGGCCTTACCTTTGGGAATGGTGATCTGACAGCTTAAGTCACAGTCCTGTTGCAGCTGATAAAAAGCCACTTCCTGCAGCCGGGCCCTCTCCAGCTCTGATAGACTCTGGATGGGGACTGACCTCAGCCGTACACTGCGGCCTGACATGCTGTTCCAGGTGAAATCACCCTGTAGGCCAAAGGAAAAAAAAAATCAACTGTTACAGAGTTCACCTACCTCTCAAAAATCTCATCCTTTCTTAGTAATAAAGTCAGGCAAACCACCTTTGTGTTCCAAAATTGGGTCTCAATTCCCAAAGTCAAATCCTCTTTTAGTTCACTGTGGATCTTCTCAGTCAGTTGCAAAAGTCAAAATCTCCAGTATCTGCTGGGTTACATGACCTCATCTCATTATGCATACAGGCCTAAGGAAACTATGTGGAAAGAGACTGTGAGGATCCTATTTCCTACTTTTTATGGGAACACATGAGAACTTTTAACTTTTGTATCTCAGTAACAGGAAAAACTGTGCTGCTGCTAATTGCCATCATGTACATCAGATATAGGGGGATGAATGTGTATCGAGAGCCAACTGTGTGCCAGTGGCTGCATCAAGGACATTTTTTAAAATTGTCAAACAATAATGGTACATATTCATGGGGCACATGGTGGTGTTTCTATACATATGGTTATTAGATATGTATTTCTAATAATTAGATATGTATTTCTAATAACCATATGTATTTCCATGCAGATTTTCTATTTCCAGAATCTACAACAAATTCAAACTAATTAGCAAGAAACAAAAACAAACAATACCATCAAAAAGTGGGCTAAGGACACAAATAGACAATTCTCAAAAGAAGATATACAAATGGCCAAAAAACATATGAAAAAATGCTCAACATCACTAATTTCAGGGGAATGCAAATCAAAACCACAATGCATACCAACTTACTCCTGCAAGAATGGTCATAATCAAAAAATAAAAAAAATAATAGATGTTGGTGTGGATGCAGTGAACAGGGAATATACTTCTATACTGCTGGTGGGAGTATAAACCAGTACAGCTGCTATGAAAAACAGTGTAGCAGAACTACCATTTGATCCAACAATCTCACTATTGAGAACTACCCAGAGGAAAATAAGTCATTATACAGAAAAGATACTTGCACACACATTTATAGCAGCATGATTCACAATTGCAAAAAATGTGGAACCAACCCAAATGCCCATCAATCCATGAGTGGATAAAGAAACTGTAGTGTATATGTGTGTGTGTGTGTGTGTGTGTGTGTGTGTGTATCTCCATATCCATGAGTGGATAAACTGTGTACACACACACACACACACACACACACACACAATGGAATACTACTCAGTCATAAAAATGAATGAATTAATGGCATTCACAGAGACCTGGATGGGACTGGAGTCTATTATGCTAAGTGAAGTAACTCAGGAATGGAAAACCAGACATTGTATGTTCTCACTAAGAAGTGGGGGCTAAACTATGAGGACGCAAAGGCATAAGAATGTTACAATAGACTTTGGGGACTCAAAAAGGTGAAAACGGGTTGATGGATAAAAGGCTACAAATTGTATTCAGTGTATATTGCTTGGGTGATGGATGCACCAAAATCTCACAAATCACCGCTAAAGAACTTATTTGTGTAACCAAATACCACCTGTTCCTCAAAAAAACCATAAAATAATCATAATACAATTTAGATAAATGTTGCCAAATTGCAACATATGTATTTCTATACATATGGTTATTAGAACAGTGCAATAAGCATATTCATTATCTCAAACATTTATCATTTCTTTCATTGCTAATATTCAACATCCTCCTTCTAGCTATTTGAGATTATATATTACTGTTAACCACAGTCAAGGGCTTTTTAATTAATCCCTCCAACAACCTTATGAAGTGGTTAACATTTTTGACCTGTTTTTTGTGAAATATAATAATATGATAATATAATCTATTATTATTATATATGACATATAATATATAGTAAAGTTTATACTTATGGTATATGAATATTATAGTAACATATAATATATATACATATAATAATATAGATGATGAAACTGAGGCTTGTGGAAGTTAAGTAATTTTCTCCAATTCATAAAACTTATAAAATTTGGAACCAGGACTCAAGCTAAGAATGTAGGGCTTTAAACTCTAGATTCTATTTATAGCACTCTTGTGAGTTATTTTGAACACAATAAGCGTAGAAATATGATCAATAGGAACATGTACAGTATTTATAGAGATATTTGATGCGAAAATACTCTGCATCAAAGAGTCAAAGCGAAGATTCTCACAATCCTAAAAGTGTACTCGTGTACACACACACACACCCTTGCAGCCCACTGAGGGTGAATGGCTCCCCGCTCAATGCAGACAGTGAGAAAGTGATGCCTGAAGAAAAAGTACTTTACAATCCTCTGAAACTCAGTGTCTCCTTACTAAAGAAGACTTCCTGTGAATCTCATATATCAGGGATGCTGCAACAGATTTGAAGAGGCAGCTACTGTTGCCCAATGATCAAGAAAATAAAAGTCCTATTGGGGTAGTAGAGGTGCTGGCCCATGCAGGTATTCATTGCAATGAGTGGAACACTTACAGAATCCCCTAAGACTTCACCATCTTACAGAAGTCACTCACCTTAAAGAAGGGAGACAGAAAGACTGGTTCCAGCAACAAAGCGCCATAGCACTTTGTTTCCCACTGGTGGCAAATTACTACCTAGTGTATTGATTCCAAATAGTGAATGGCACTATATTAATTCTTTGATATTTTCCCTCTTCAGCTGGGATTTCATTCATTCATTTAATCCATGAAGGCATTATACTCTGGTAGGGGCAGAAAATGAACAGGGTAAGTAAAAGGAATGGTGTGTTAAATAATAACTGCTAGGGAGGAGAAAAATGCAAAGAAGGGGAAGTAGAGGAAAGGAATTTGCAATTTTAGAGCTAGCACTCAGGAAAGACCTCACTGAGAAGGCAAAATTTGAGCAAGCGCTAAAGAAGTTATGGCTTTTAGTTTCTTTGCCTTGACATGTATGAATTACATCCAGTGGATAATGATGAAGACTGGCAGGAACCCAGGAGGAGCTCAGGGAGAGTGATGCGGGAGGGAATGTGAGGAGAGGAGTGAGTGAGCAAATCTAGTCAAAGTTAGGAGGTTGCAGTCACATTCAGTGAACAGAAGAAAATTCTTCTAGAGCCTGTGTATTTGAATTTTTTCTTTCTTTTCTTTTGCTATAACCAGACTAAGAACAAATAGTGCATATAGATGTTAGGGTTAGGGGCTCAGGGCTTGGGTGTACCCCTCACTCACACCCTCTAAGCATAGGGAACAAGGAACAGTATTAGGGAATTTAAAAAAATTTCTCCCAGATAGAAATTCCCCAGATGAGTTTATAAATTTTAGATGTGAAGCTTAGGTACCTAAGGGAGCTGACGGCTATTTGAAGTGTCATAACAGAATTACATACCCATTCTTTAAAAGCATTTAATGATGTGACCTCCAATGAGCTTAATTATCTGTAGTAGGGGTTTGACAACCTTTTTCTGTTAAGACCACATAGAAAGTATATCAGGCTTTGTGGGTCATGTGGTCTCTGTTACAACTACTTAACTCTGCCTTTGTGGCATGAAAGCAGCCACAGATAATTTATAAATCAGTGAGTGTGGCCATATTCCAATAAAATTTTATTTAAGAAAACAGCAGGCTGGTTTTGGCTGGTGGGATAGAGTTTCCCAACCTGTGAACTATAGCTTATGATTGAAATAAACGAATTCCTAGAAGGGACAGTTTATTCTTATTTACTAAGTCTTCCTGGTTAATTAATTCAAACAATATTTAATACGCACAGGTGAGATGCTAAGCTCTGTGATAGGATTGGGACTATCAAGGTGACAATACAGTCCTTGTCCTCAAAGTTAACTTTCAGGTAGGAAGAATAAAAGCAATCCATAAAACACAGAAATTGTGTTACTAGAAGTAAGTACTAAATGCAATGAATGCCTAGGAAACAAGTCTTTTGTTATCTATTTGGAGGATCAAGGAAAGCTTTATAGAGAAGGTAGGGTTTCGTTGGAGGCTTGAACGTTGAGTAAGAGGGGGCAGGGTTTGCGAAGTAGCAATACAACTTTAGCAGCAGGTGCCATGGCAAATGAGTTTGAGAAAACAGGCTTGTTTGGGGAATCACAAGGTTGGAAGGAAGAAAATGGAAAGAGGTGAAGCCAAGCAGAAGTCAGGGCCAGATTCTGTAGGGCCGTCTCTGTTGGCAATGCAGACTGGATTAGATTTTCCTCCATAGGTGATGGCTAGTCATTCAGGAAGTTTGAGTAAGAGAGGAGCATAAGCAAATTTGAAATATGGAAAAGATGACTGGAAACAAGCTTCTTAAGGAATTAAAGGGGAGGGCAAGTCAAAGATGCAGAGATGAGAAAAGACTCTGTGCTAAGTAGGATGCTGATTCCAATTTGAACAAACACGGAAGACACTTAGAACCACATAGATGCTGGAGAACAAACTGGATGCAGTGAGGAGAAAAGAAAGAGTAATCTGCGATGACTCTTGGGTTTCTAGCTTTGGCAACTGAGCAGATAGTAACACTAATCACCAAGACGGGGAATGGCAGAGGGAATCAGGTTTGCAGGGGGAGAAGGAGGATCACCCAGTTTTGGACATGGTGAAAATGGTATTTTGTTAAAAAAAAATAGAATTAAAACATTCTTAAGTCTGGCAAAACAGAACATGGCCGATTTATATTTTTCTTGAGCCTTGATTTTCTTCTCTCAATTACCACATGTCCTCACTCATAGGCGGGTGTTGAACAACCAGAACACATGGACACAGGGAGGGGAGCCACATACAATGGGGTCTGTTGCAGGGTGGCTAGAGGAGGGACAGCGGGGGCGGGGGAGGTTGGGGAGGATACATGGGGAGAAATGCCAGATATAGGTGATGGGGGGATGGAGAAAGCAAACCACCTTACCATGTATGTACCTATGCAACAATCCTGCATGATCTGCACATGTACCCCAGAACTTAAAGTACAATTAAAGAAAAGAAAAACAGTTCCAATACAATCAACTAATACATGTTTTTTTCAAGCTGTTTACAAATGACTACCCCTAGCATAATAAAAAGTGAAGTGTGATGCTTTT